AGAGGCTGTGGCTGAGCAGTGTGTCTGAGGTGAGAGGCTGTGGCTCAGCAGTGTGTCTGAGGACAGAGGCTGTGTCTCAGCAGTGTGTCTGAGGTCAGAGGCTGTGGCTGAGCAGTGTTTAGCTAAAGACCTTGCAGTCTGCTCCCTTTCCCTGTCTACCACTCCCAGCTTCCTCTCTAGCAGACGTGGGTTCCTGGAGCTGCTGATGCCCATGTGTCTCTGTTGGGGATCCTCAGACAGGGTGCTGTAGTCAACAGGGAGAGCCAGGCCCTCAGCCTGCCTGTGACCACACCCCTCCAGCTGGGACTGGTGCCAGAGTTCCCAGAACGAAGCCTGAGCTCCAGTCCTGTTGTGGACTGCTCCCTGGAGGGCAGCTGTTGACCCAGAGCTTTGTTTCCCAACGATCGATGGCTGCCTGTGCTCTGTCCTGACATGGCCCTCGCTAGATGCTTGGCACCTTCCCCCTGGCCACCCCGCCCGTCTTCCTGGGGCCTCCACCTCAGCACATCTGCTCTGGAGCACTCTGCCGCAGACCCTGCGGGCCCTGTCCACACGGGGTCCCTGTGGCGTCGCCTGGCATCTCAAGTGGAAAACCGAGTGGTATTGCCCCAAATAAGCCAAGCCCTTGGATGGCACTGGACTGGTAGCACCTCCTGTAGTGTCACGTCTCAGGTTCGTGAGGAGATTGCCTTGGTCCAGGGAGAGTGTCCGATTCCTTCCCACAGGATTCCTTCCCATGGCTGCGCCTCCTCTGGTCCCTTCTGGGGCAGGAACATAGCAGCCCAGTGGGCAAGAGCCCAGTCTAAGCACGGCCAGGTGCTGACTGGCTTGTTACTTGGTGAGACCAGGTCTGTGGGCCCTCCCAGGGAGTCCAGAGTTGAGCAGGGTCTGCTGTGACGTGGGTCTTGGTGGCCACGGTCAGCTTCGGGGTGTGCTGAGGTGTTATACGTGTCACTGCCCCACACAGCCCCCGAAAGCAGCCGTAAGTGTGGGGCCGAATCCTGCATCTGTCTGTTCCCATGAGTGGCCTCTGTGGCGAGCTCAGCCAGCCGCAGATCCGGACCTCCTCAGGGAGGGCTGGGCTGCAGGCACAAAGGGCGCTCTGTAGGAGCGGTGAGTGATGGCCACCCTTTCATCAGGGGTGCTAACCTTTTGGCAGCCACCAGCAGACTGCATTCTGCTGTGCTGATTGGGAGGACAATGCCGCACTGGCCTTTGAATGGACACTGCCACCAACAGCGTTGTATTCACAGGGCACTGGGAACCGCACGGGCATTGTCCACAAGCCCCTGAGCTGCGGACGACCGGGAGGCGCCAAGGGGACCTGCCTTCTGTGGGCTTAATCTGCTCTCCGCCAGAGCTGCAGCGCCGTGAAGGCCAGCCCTGTGCCCTACGAGAGGGGGGAGACACTGCGTCACCCAGGGGCACCAGTGTCTGGGCTTGGTCTCCAAATCCAAGATTGCTCCAAATAAAGGGCTAAGGAGCAAAATACAGAGAGAAACTAACACGGGACCAGTCCTGCGGCAGCTCGAGTTCAGTCACCAGTGGAGATCAGTACCCAAGTTGAAGTGCCGTCATAGTGTTCATCGGGAATAGCCAATACTGCGCCCTTTTCCCCTTTCTTTTCGCCCTCCTTTTCTCTTCTTTTTTTCTTACTTCTTTCTTGAAGCAGTATCTTAGTATGTAGCCCCAGCTGACCTCAGACTTAAATTCCTCCTGCCTCAGCCTCCCAGGTGCTGGGATCACATATCTGTGTCACCACACCCAGTCAACCAAGGACTTACTTTTTGTATTCTGGCTTTTTATTTTTATATAAGGTAATAATCTTTCTGTTTTATGCCAAGTTATGAATTTTAGTCATGAATTTCTTGTTATAAAATACTAAAAACAAACAAACAAACCATGACCCCTAATTACTGAAGAGGGCCAGGCTCAGAGATGTGGTCAGGGTTGGAAGTTGGAGGTACATATGCCAGGCAGGGGAGGGTTCTGGGCCCTAGGCAGCAGCCTGCCCTCCGGTGGCCCTGGCAGGCCCCTTCATGGCCCTGGCTGAGTCACTGAGCTGCTCTCCTAACACGAGGTCAGCTTTTCAGGGGCACCGGGGCCACCGAGCCAGGGCCCCACACTGATCTTCCCTGGGCACCGGTGTGGACATACAACAAACCTTTCCCTAGCACTCAGCCTATGCAATTGGGCTTTTTTTTTTTCCCACAAGTGACAGGACTCTTTAGTGTCCTCTTTGAAATGTGGCCTGGCTAGTTCAACAGAGACATTTTTACATTACAACTGTGAAATCTCAGCATAAAGCGCCCCTCTGTCCCCCCATTATTTTCTCACAAACACAGTCCATTGTCACAGTGCTGAAGTTAATTTGATCAACATTGGGACATTTAACTTTTATGTCCAGTCAAAAGAGTTGTTTCATGCTCATTTTGGGCATTCATAGGAAATGATTGCCAGAAAAATAATGTCCCTCTGGACAATTGAGGGCAATTAGTCTCCGAGGGAGAGGCGATACGGCGCGGCCGCCACACAGCTCTCCTTTGTGGCTTTATGGACGGTCATCCATCAGCTGTCAGCCTGCTCAAAGACCCCTCCCAGCTAAGCGCTTCTCTTTAGGCCGTTCCCAGAACTCGCCTCCCTGTTCAGTGAGCAAAAGAAAAGCGGTGTGTCTCCAGGCAAAAGCAAGCTGTGTGCTGTGGATCTAGGTCCTTCCAGAAGGCCCTGG